ACGGGGTGGTAAAAGACGAGATTGGCTCATTTTTCAAATCAAAAAGAGCAAACAAAGAAGGAAACTGATCCTTTAGAGGGGCACTCCCCACCCAGGTTTGTTCCCAAAATTTTATGGAGTTACCGGAATTCAAATCATACCTGATAGACATCATGGTCATCCACTAAGATAGGACATAGTGATAGACAAAAAAAGGGAAGAAGAGGAAGAAGGACAATAAATCTTTGTCCTTTTCTATGCGCTATCATGCTTGAATTTCAAACTGCAGTTGTTTCTGATGATTTGGGTGTTGTCCAGTGGTATTTCACGTTTCAGTCTTTTTTTTTTTTTTTTGAATTTCTCCATCTGTATTTAAGCAAATTAGCTACTAAAATTTTGCTTGAAAATTCAGCTATGTTTCTTTATTACTCTTTATCTTCCCTTCATTCTATTCAACCACCAAAACATGTTAGAATAACAGATCTAGAATCATTCATTTTTAGACTTTGTTTTGTTATTTTTACTCAATTATCTTCTACTACGCCGGATGTAAAGGATGACTGAATCGTCAAATAAGTTGTCAGTCTCTTTAATTTGTTATTTTTGTCACAAAAATATGGGTTCCTACTTCCTACCTCAGATTTTGTTGAGGAATGATTTTAATCTTGCTGAAAGCCAAAGCACAGGTGAGGAGAATTTCAAATTGCAGACAAAGTTGAATCTTCTTAAATTTTTTTATTTAATATTTTTTTTGTAATTTTTGTTCGTAAAATTCCTGTGTTAATACATGTTCCTGTAATTTAAAATTTCTATTATGTTTCCACAATTTCTATTATTTTTTCATTTGCCACATTTGTTTATAAATTTTGTTATATTTTCTTGTAATTTTTAATACTTTTTTCTTTTTTTGTATTTTAATGATTTAAAAATCAATGGGTTGGGCAGGTTGGGTTGGGCAAGGTGGGTTTGGGCTCAACCCGACCCATTTATTTTTCTCTTAATGGGCATTAGCGGGTTGGTAGGTTGAACGGGTTGGGTTAAAGCTCAACCCAAACCCACCCAATTGCCACCCCTAAGTCTCTAACAGCAGGGTGGCTAGCTGAGTCTATCTACTTACAAAGCAAATTATGTATCCTCTTTTTTATCATTAATAAATTTCCTTAACGTTACTGATCACAAAAATATGGCCATGAACATGGAGAATGGACAAAAAGACCATTAAGTGGGTTGTTCCGCTGTTCCTAATTCTTGGTTTAAAAAGGCTCCTATCATAAGCATTTTCTTATGTATGCCACCACAGAACTTTGGAACTATAGTGCACACAAGATCCATTGGCAAAACAATACAAGTTCTTATACATATGGGAGTCAAGATGTCATTGTCTTGTAAGTTTGTTTTCCTCTTCTGAGAAAAGTTAAAATGTCCACCATAGGCAGATCAATCGACTCTTACAAAAAGTATCCTTCATCATTTAGATGGCTCTACTAAATAAACATTCAGAATAGTAACCATCTGACCAATATACAAGAACCAGCAATTTGTACAAAACATGTTAATTTGTTGATCACCAACTTCTCCTATTCCCCACTGAGTTCATTCTTTTAGTTTTTTACCCTGGAGACCAAAAGGAATGCTTGACAGATATTGTCAGGGATAGAAATTAATAGAACAAAGAAAGACCTAACTAACTGTGCTGTCCTTAGTAGTGGTACTCTGCATCAGAATATCTTCATGCTAATACAACATCCTGCAGGGCCAAGTGGTTTAGTGCAGTTGACACAATTAGACCAAAGCACTTTTTGACCTGAAATTTATATTTATATAGTTCACCCTTTCGAAATGTTACATAAATGATAAAAAAAATATGAATACAGGAAGGATGAGCATGGCACATGAATCAACTCCTAAGCTCAACATAGATGAGTTCTACAGCAACATATGCAGAATTCGATGCTAATCTGCACCATCCATGAGCTAAATTTACTGTTAAATGAATCACAGTTCAGAAATGGGACAATTCTTGATAAATATTTTCCATGCGAAAGCTCTCTTCTGGAAGTCAAATTAATTCTTATCTGGACCATAACTGGATCATAGCAAGCCATCATCTAAAATGATCAGGTTCCTGAAACAATGGTTGGTACTAAGCCTAGAAGCAAGCCTGATGGACCAACAGCCTTAATAATGAACATGTGTGTTTGGCATCATACATAGAAAAAGCTCACTCTGCTTAGGCATAAACTGATTGCCAAAGTAAGCTCCTGAATGTAGTTAACTGCCAAGGCCTGCCAATCATTTTGACAACCTTAGTAGATAGTGAAATGCAAGGATTTCTGGATAGAACATATACAATTAAATAGTAGAATATATACAGAAAATAATTTCACAGTGAACAACTTTCAATGACTAAAGCACATATAAATATTGGACCGCAGACCCTTAGGGTCTAGAATAAGCTAAGCTTGAATTATCATATTGGGGAGTATCATTACTTAAAAGTGTAAATAGGAAAAAAAATGTGTCCCTGAAGTGTATGTATAGCAGAAGAGAATGAAATTCAACAAAGATTAATGAATATGAAGACTTAAGGCGCAAAATAAGAACTCATGTGCATCTAACAGTAAATAATATAGATCCATGATCCAGAAGCAATGGCAACAGATATAAGCCTAAGGAATCTCTGCAGCTTGGATTTAGTAGTTCTAGTTGTAACTTGGCAGGAATACGAGATTGAATGAGAAAACCACGCATAAAATTTTAACATAACCATGGCCAGCCGCTAGTTCAATTAAGAAAACCCCCCAGTGGTTTACGTTTCAAAGGTTCAGTTCCAAAGTTCGGTTGAGCACAAACCGCTGAGGTACTGACAAAATCTCATTGGTAATGACAACAGATAATGGAAGAAGCATCCAGTCCGCTTAGCTCACGTATGTAAGCAGCAAGACTTCATTACACAGGCGGCTTCGTATGAAATAAATAACCCTAGACCTAGGGCTATTTCTAAATTGTGAAAATTTATCATGCTTCACATTGAGAACAGAAAATAAAAGGCACAAGATATGTAAGAATCTAGAATCTTTTGCTAGTATCCCTCTATCCCACTGGGACTCTAAAAATTCTTACAGTAATAACGAGAAAGCATACCAGGCATTTTATTGACGAACCAGAAAAATAAAAAATATAAATATATATCTAAAAGGGAAATGCATACGTATGTATTTAACTGTCTGACAAAGCTGGAGAAGTTGTTGTGCTTGAAATACTTAGGCAAAAGATCCCTTGCAAACTCCGGCGGATTCCAGACTACGAAGCTGTTGTTACTAGGGCTCCAAGACACGATCGAATTCGTCGAAGGATCATCGACCATGTCATAGGTCTTGCTCAAGAACGGCGGCGGAGCATTCGCGTTAGGTGCGGAGCTCGAGCTTGCAATCGTGGTTGTGCTCTGAACTCCATCCATTGTTCGCCAAGAGTTCAAACCACGACAAGCATCGATACGATTAATTAACAAGTCGAGAACAGAATCCAAAGCTTCAGAGGCAACTTCACTTTACATAGTATAGAGGTTTAACAGAGACGAAATGGCGTCATTACTGCTACAACTGTCGAAGGAGAAGCTAAGATAGGGGAATTATATTCGAGTCATTGAAGGCGAATTGAAGGTTGTTGATCGCAATCGGAAAAAAGCATCTCCGATGGTAAATGGAATAAGGCAGAAACCCTAAATTACAGGCGGAACGCCGTTGTACGGTCACTGCCTGAACGAATGAGCTAAGGAAGAGGTAGAGATGAATGGGTTTTTAATGGTGGAAGAGAGCCGGGAGACGACGGAAGAAACGGACACTAACCGGTCTGCTTGAGAAATCGCTAGTGTGTGACGGCGTCGGGTCGGGGAATTTTTTGCTGCATTTTATACAATTACTCTTTTATCCCTCTACTTATTCTTGGCAAGGCAACACGTATGGGTTATGTATTGGACGCTCCAGTTTCATACTGTGGAAGTGGAAGTAGTGGAACATCCCCAGGGGATTAGCCATCAAGCAAACGGTTTGGATTGATAAAAGAACTGGTCCACGTGTACAATCAACGGCTCCCGTTGCTATCAAGCTTATTATGGATATCACACTGCATATAAAGCCAAATTAAAAAAAAATGCGAGGGGATCTCATGCAAGAAAAATATTATGTATGTACTCTAAAAATAGGGCAGCTAGCTATACATTGGCAACATCTTCTGATCTTCCTCATTTTCACATACATACACAGAAGATATTCTGAATGTGTGGATGGATGCCTTGCGCTTAGAGAATTTTTGGCTTACAGGAGAAGCACTGAAAAACACTAAAAACTGAAGATGACTGGAAGAAGGGCGTACTAAGGGCTAGGCTACGTACGTGGCAGCTAGGGAAAAGGGCCATATCCGGCTTTTGAGTTTTGAGGCTAAAATCAAATAATTGCCTCCTTTAACTTTAATCAAAGATTTTGGTGGGTTAAACTCGTATTCGAGTTAAGTAGGCCAAAAAGGAGAGAGAGAAGAACAGTTGAGTTTGTGTTGTGGACTTCACTGTGTATTACTGCTATTACGTGACCAAAGCCCAAAGGGAAAGTCACGATTGAGCGAGGGACACCTGTGCGTTTTTTCTGCCCAAAATGCCCATACCTTTTTTTAAAATGATTATTATCTCCCTTCTTTTCCAATTTATTTGTTCAATTTTTTTATTTAAGGATGGTGATTTTGCCGTCAACGAACACCCTGTTAATCAAAGAAAATGTCGCTTCCATACTTTGAAAAGGAGGTCGGAACTGACAAAAGTAACATTGAAAACAACCGTTTATGTACCACCTATCTTCAAAAGAAATAGGGGGAGGGAGAAAATACATTTATGTACTTTTTATTCTTTTAAATTCAAAATTTAAAGACAGATGGCACAAATCCACAGTGCCTAGCATTTTTTGTAACCAGTATACTCGGACTCTCAATCTTCAAAAAGCATATTCGGATCCTGTTCAATAAAAATACTTGAGCAATTGAAGTCGTTTGCAGGAGAAAAAAAAACTCGTAATCACCTGCTTTGGTATAAATCATGATGCCAAGTATCACAACAAATCATATTTGATTCAATTATCAGTTTTTCTGATTTTTGTGTAAGATGAAATTCTAAAATTCATAAGAATGGGTAAAAATGAGTAAAATGAAAAAATATTGCTATAAATTAAACACTTTTTTTAAATGAATTCTTTTCAAATCGGCAAGTGCCTTATATTTTTCATTTTCATTCTTAAAAAAGAAATTGTGTTAGCAATCATAAACCACCAGCCTAGGTCTCCAAAATATCAGCATAAATGTTTACCGGTAGGGTTGTCAATTGAACTGGATTTGGTTCAATTTATAAATGGATTGGACCAAATCCATACAAACCAAGTCCAATCTAGTCTAAATAAAATGCAAATGGACCGGATTGGGTCCAATCTAATCCAAATTGAATCAAACACCAAAATAACAGAGAAATCCAGAAAATATATAAAAAAAAAAAAAACTACAATACCTGCTACAACCCAATCCAGTCCAATTAAAATGCAAATGGACTGAATTGGGTCAAATCCAATCCATAGTGAATGAATAAAAGCACTTTTGTTTTCATAAAAGTAATTTGATAAAAATACTTTCATAAGTGTTTTCATAAAAGTGCTTTTGTAAAAGTATAAAAGTACTTCCGTAAATAAAAGTGCTTTGTGTAAAGTATTTATGTAAAAGGGCTTTCGTAAAAGTACTTTATTCATAAAATTACTTTTGTAAAAGTGTTTTCATAGTAAAAGTATTTTTATGCTAGCAGTTTTCTAACCGTTGGCATTGTGTTTCTTTAAACAATGAAAATGAACAAGATGAGGCATGATTATTTTTCATGTTGCAAGCTACCTCAATTTTTATGTTATGGGCTGATTTTTCATTTTGAAAAGAATGAGGCCGATGGTAAGAATTTTGTAACCAAACACTCTAATGTTATTCATTCTTGCTCATTCTTACCCAGAATGAGTAATAATTAAAAAAAAAATGAGGCCCTAAGCAGTGAACCAAACATGGCCTAAAATTGCTGAAACTTTCCCGAAAGCTTTTGGTTGTTGATGAAACCTCCCTTGAAGTTTGGTAATTGCAATCACCTCAGCCTTAACTTTTTGACATAGTTGCAAGTATACCTCTTTTGTTAGAATCCTCTAAAAGGAGACATGAAAATATCCAAAATACTCATGTAGTTACTTTTGACCATAATGTTTATTTTTCAACTTTTATCTTCATATGAATTGCTAGTTCAAACCCTTTCAATCTCTTTTTTAAAATTGAATTGTTTTCCAAATTTTCCCTTCATATTAATCTCTCAAAGAGAAAGATACAACTTTAAATTCTCTATTTTTTGTTGTTTATAAAGTTTTTATTTTCTTTTTTTTTTTGTAGAAACCATCCTCAATAATAATTGCATGGGTATTTTGGATATTTTTGTGCCTCTTGTTAGAGGATTCTAACTGATGTAGCGCGATCTGACTACTCCCTGCTAGAGGATGTTCTAGCTTCCAGTCAGGCGGCGAGCTAGGTGAATCTGCAAGAAAGGATCTAAGAACCTAGGTGGCTAACCCAGCGAGGTCGCTCTGATGCTTAAGTCAATAAACTGATGCGAGCTGAAAAGCTTTGAGAGCTTAGAGAGCTAGAGAGTAGAAAAATCACGCGTACCTAGCGCCATTGGGGTTGGTGCCTTTATATACTGAAACAGTCGTGGAACTCACGAAAGAGCTTCGGGATATCCGAGCTGTGGAGATAGAGTTCGTTCCGCTTCCGAAGAAGTAGCATACAGGTAAGGCTTATCGTTCCACTTCCGACCCCGGCGGAGTCAGGATGAGTCCTCATCGTGATCTCAGAAGAATCGAGATCTGTTAGCTCATCGTGATCTCGAGAGATTCGGGATCTGTTGGAGGGACCTCTGGAGTTTGTTACATGGGAGTCAGTTACATGGCGATTCGAGTTGTTGGTCCCGAGCTGGTACTTCGGTCTTTTAGTTTCGAATTGGATTGAAGAGGTGCCTCGATGCCGAGGTGAGCCTTATGCCGAGGCGGCCCTTGTACCGAGGTGACTGAATACCTGAGCTCAATTGTTGCGAACTAAACTTGTCAGGCTGAGTTGTCGTCTCTTGGCCAGGTCATGTCCACATGTCCCCTTTTCGCTAGATCGGGTGGTGGGTGTCAAATCCAACAAAAATAAAGTCCTGCTCGAATTAAATACTTTTGTATATAGCAATGAACAAGGTCGTCTCCACAGGGATTGGGTTGATTTATTTCCAAGAAAATTAGTAAAAACGAAATAGGGGGTTGTTGTAAAGAAAAGGAAAATAAAATAATAAAATAATGATTAAATCGATAGAAGGTAGCTTCTGGTTGAAGAGATAAGTTTAGCTTTGATTCTTACAATTGATCATCGATGCAAGGATGAATTCATGTGCTTATGAGTAAATTGGTTATAGATATTAACAAGCTCTAATATCCAATCTCTACTTGAACTTTCGGCAATCAAAATAAGCTCTTTGATTGCTTCTCTTATTAATAGATAGCCCTAAATAAGCTCTTGGGATTTAATCTATTAACAACATTAAGAATTAGAGAAACCCAATTCTAGTCAACGAACTCACAAGCTCGGTTCGTTTAAACCAGATCATATATTTTCATAACATGAATCAAAAACTTGTCCATAATCGATTTATGTTATTCGCCACAGAGATTAAATCTAACAAACATATACGAATTTGATGATTTAATCGGCAATAGATTATTTTATTGATTGAACAATGGATCCTTTTTGCTCAATCAATAAAAATAATCATTACAGGGAATTACAAAAAATATATAAATACTCAATAAACAATGAACTGAAATAAAATCAATTAGATCTCACAATTTTTGTAGAACCAAAGCTTCCTTAACCTTCAACTAGAAAATAAAAGCTTAATCACACTTCATGGAGAGATCGCAACTTCTAGATGAAGAGGATGTATTATGCTTCCTTCCTTTCTTTTCTGCTTGATGTCGTTCTTGCTAGTCTACCCCCCCCCCCCCTTATATAACTTTAGGGGGGGGGGACTGTTTCCAACACCTCTTAGAAGTTCTTTCTCAAATAGAAGTCCAATTTCCTAAAGGGATAATGCTTATTTCAGATCTAATCTATTCTTATCTCTAAATAGGAATAGGAATTCTAACTGAGATGGACTTTGACTCTTTTTAGAAGTACAACAAAAAATAGACTCTATTGAATGCTGGTGGTTCATGCCTCTAACTCAGCCTAATCCTACTAAGATTGTTGGAGCGGGCCTACTTCTTGCATGCTCAATCGTGCTGGTCTCCTTCCATCGTGTTGGGGTTATGCTGCAAGCTCCTTTTAGCTTTATTTTCCAAATTGCAATTTTCTAAATAAAACACGATTAAATCCATTAATTAACTTACTAGAAAAATACAAATAATATGGAAATTACGCACTCTATCATCGGGCCAAATCACCCTTCATCAACTCCCCGAGCTAGGGGTCTCGACCCGGTGCGGGGAGTTCATGATGAGTCCAGGTGGACTTCGCACGAGGTCTAAGCAGTTTGACAAGCGAATCACTGGTCAGACCAGTTCGGCCGCTCAACTCAACCAGGAATAACCCAAGTCGCGTCAGGTGTACGCGCGGACGTCACGCCGTTTTATAAACTCCGTAGACGTCAAAATGTGCGCTAAGCCGATTTCAACCTCGAGGGTCGTGCAACTAGTTTTCCTAGGAGCCGTTGGATCGTGACGATCTCGATCGTTGATTCCCGAACACAACAGCTATAAATAGGGGGCAAGGGACTCATT